CACTGGCTGTTGCTTCTCTAACCACATCATATACCAAAGTAGGGCACCCCTAATCAGATACATTACCTTCAGTACTCAACTTTTGTAGGAGTAGCTCCCTTATCTCTCCAAATTGACTCACCCAGCCCTTCCAACCTTCAAGAACTCAACACTAGTCCTGGGAGGAGCTTCCAGCTAATCCCTTCTCCACTTCTGACATTCTGGAAGTGGCACTCATAGTGGTTACAAAGCATAGCACAGTGGTGCATACATGTGAGTCTATACCCCACAAATTAGACTAGCAAATATCTAAACATATTGCTTTAACTTTTAGCCATGATTTCCTATTTAGCAGCATCACACTGGTATATTTTTCAGGTATTTCTCATCTGTACATCCACAGCAACTGCTTACATTAAGAAACAAAGACACGTATTAGAAAGAGCCATTTAACACCAATGGAAAAATCCCCCTTACCTCTGGTTCAGATTTTACTTCTACTTTAGTTTGGACCACTGGCACGACTGCTCTAGCTTTTATTTCAGTCCTTCCATGTGGGCTCCCAACTCCTACTACAGACCTTGTAGCAGATGTTGTGCTGGTAATGGGTTTCACCTGTGCAGCAGTTCGTCGGTTGTTATTCATCTCAATAGCATGTGAAGGTGCTATTGGTAATTCCCGCAAATTGCTATTTCTTGAAGCAGTTGGCTGTAGCTGTTGATTCGGACGCTTGACAACATTCTGCGTTGGTGTATTCTGACAAAGGCAAAAGACAAAATTCAGGTAATGTAGAGGCCTTGGTAGCCATTCCAGGGTTCAGGTTATGTTGAGATTTCCACTTAAAGCAGGATTAACATTTAGTTTCAAAAACTGGTACCAACTCTTCAGGGGACAACAGCATTCACAATGTAACTTTCTAGGAAAATACCTGCTAACTTTTGCAGAGTAAGTTTTTAAAAATGCCCTCCTTTTGAAATGTTCTCAAGTCTATCTCGTCTTTAAGCTTGTTTAAGCAGCAAAACTTAAAACTTCTCTCATATATACACCTCTCAAACATAAGCCACTTCTAAAACCCAAAGAATAACTGTTCTGAACTTTGTCCAGATCAGCTAAGGTACTGAAGCTTTGGATCCCCCACAGATCAAATGAAGGGCTGGGGGCAGGAGGGACAAAAGGAAACAGGGCAAAGCTTTTATGCATTGGAGCAGTCAAGAGTAACAAGGGATCACCATGACAATGCTTCATGGTGCACCACGAAGCCTAGTCTGCAGTGCTATGGGGAGAGCTTCAAGCACAGATGCTGTAGTGCTGAAGCACTGGGTTTCCCAACCCCAATCACAGCTTTATATTTGACCATACAACTCTTCCCCTACTTCACCCTTCCAAACATCCTTGATTGATAGCTTCTTAGCATCAACAGCCAGAGTGTGTGTGTGTCTCTCTCTCTCTGCTACACAGTGAGAGAGATGAGGGGAAAAGAGAAAGTCAGTAATACAAGGGGAGACAGAGGTTGGGGGAAGTGGTTATAAATATAGGACACTGAGTGAGGAAGGAAAGAGGAGATGCACAATGTTTTACACACACAGAAAAGAAGAGAACATTGATTTATGCCAGCATTTATTGGTACATACGTGTCTTGGCTTCATTGGACCCTGCCGCTGTTGACACTGTATTCTATTGTTATTTGACTGTTGCTGTGAAGCCTGCATATGAGGTCTGAACTGTGACGGGGTAATGGGAATTAAAGGCTGTGGTGGACCAGCAAGAGGATGGTGATGTTGATGCTGATGATGCTGATGCTGCTGGTGCTGCTGGTGCTGCTGCTGTTGATGCTGCTGGTGTTGTTGCTGCTGGTGAGGCTGAGGTGGTAGTGGAGGATGCAAGGGACCCTTCACATAAAAACAAAAAATGATTCTACACATTTGTTTTTCAATCCTAAAGAAACAAGCCCTTAAGCAAACAGATTTGTTCTTTTAAGTCAACATTATTTTGGCTGTTACATAAGGAGTGCAGAAATATAAGCTTTCCTGGGGCAACAGAATTTGGGGTTAACATGGATTGATTACCGTGCAGGGTAATATCACTATCACTGATCACCTAGATTTTTAGCTCAACTTCTTAAAGTGAAAAAACCTCAAATATTATTGAGACTACAATAAGTAAATCTAATTGTCCTATCTGCTTCTCAGACTTATTACATTTACTCTTATGAAGTTCACAATGTATGTATCATAATCTTTAATAATCCCCACCCCTGAAATTTGAGGTCCTTTCCATATTTTTTTGGTCATACAAACTATTTATCTACCTTAAACAGTTTATAAGAAAAATTAATTTAAGAGGTCATAGTGGTTTCTCTCTCACTGCTAATCCCCTAAAACATACAACTCCTTATCAGCAGAGGGCACCCAAGACCTGTGACAAAAGGGGGAGTAACCCAGCAATGTCAATATTTTGAATACACACACTTATCTATATACAGATTGTTTTAAACAATACTTTCATATTTCTGCTAGAGTAAATCCATTTAAGGAACCATTGAACAGAATATAGACATTAAGAACTTTTCTAATCTCACTAGCTGTAAGCAGTTGAGCAGAAATCACGACAATTTGAACAATTTCACTTTCGAAACATATGTTCATAAACATTTCAAACCTAAACTGTTGCTATGATGATAAAAAACCTGCCTCTCTGTCCAATATTCTAATAAGATAAACACCATAGATAAAACTGCTTAATATTTATAATGTTATTCAAGACTTAGCCACTTTGGTTAGACCCTTGCTATGAGCTGAAGGAAAGATCCCACTATAGTTTTCTAAGTGAAAAAGTTCTATTTAGAACTTACAAGCTGACTTTTACCATCAATTCATACCTGCATTGTAGGCTGTATATGTGTTCCTAGATATGGTTGTCCTGGGTTTTGTAAGAACTGTTGCCTGGGTTGCATGAAAGGCCGTGGATTTACTGAACCTGCTTGGTTGAAGTGCAGAAGTCCTGCAGGATTCTGAGGTTGGATGTTCGGCCTTACTGGCCTGTCTCTGGAAAATACAGGCTGTTGTCCTTGCTGATTATATCCTGGTCCAGGTTGATTGAAAGGCAAAGGATTTTGAACAGGGACAGGATGGGTACTGTTAAGGAGTGGGGGATTCGGTGGAGGTGGGGGACTCTGTTGCTCGAACAAATGATGACTTGCAAATCTTGGATCTGTTGAAACCAAAACATTTAATTTAGTGACAACTACTTCCTGAATACAAATGTGTTTAAAATACAGTCGTGCCATATTTCAGCTTCAGGAGAGTAACTTGAAAATGTGATAACTATGAAGTATGAAAGGAGCAAAGCCTTGGCATGAAAAGTGCAGACCCTTGGGAGAAAGACAACAATTTGATAACTATCTGTCATTAATAAGGAATTTTATTATTTCTTCTGCAGAATCACTTAACTCCAAAGAGGAATTAGGACTAGAGAAATGCAAGAACTGATAATTTGAACAAAACTAATGCTATTTCAATCCATGCAAAGAACTAGTCAAGCGATTTTATTCAATTTTTATATTTTAGTTAACGCCATCTTTGTTGTGTTGTAACTTTAACATTCACTGAAAGATTGGTCAGAATTAAATTTGCAGAGGACCAAATATTCCAGATAGATATAACTGTTAATGGAAGAACAACCAGAGATGACTGTAGGAATGGTATTGACATTTAATACCTGAACTGTAACAAACTGAAGAAAATATCTGGTGCTTTTTAAGAGATGGTAAAATACAGGATTACTGTAGTTAAAGACTGGAAAAACTCACTAAAGTTCATGGCCTATGCTATACAGAAGGTCAGACTAAATCATAAGGGTCCGTTCTGATCTTAAGATCTATGAATGAATCTATCTATACATATGAGTAAAGAAAGAATATTCAAATGGTTTATTTGAAATAAAATAATCATCCTGTATAATAATCTAAAATAAAAATTATCTACCTCCAAGGAAGAAAGGGTCTCTTTCTTGGGGTGGAGGAGGTGGTGGTGGTGGAGGAGGCAAAGGCGGTGGAGGTGGGCCTCTCCATTGGTCCTGGAGAGGGAGTCTTGGGGCTTGTGTAAAGTTGGTAGGAACGGGTCCAGGAGTGTGCTGCTGAAAATCTGGAGGGCCCTGTTTAGTAAAGACAAAAACCAGCAAAACTAAGTCCATCTTTAAGAAATTCAGCCATAGTCTATTAAAAATTCTCACTCAAAAAAATCAGTTGATTTATTAATTCTTTTCTGTAATATGTACAAGGTTGGCAGCCCTACTGAGTCATTCTCCCATAATGGATAAGACACTGAACCAGAATCATGAAATGATTTCACAGTGTTTTAATAGTCATTGT